CCAACAAACAAACAAACAACTCTGGGTACACTGCAGCCGTTACATTTCCTTGTTCTTTTTCCGGAGTTTCCAGTAGCGCACGAGAGTATTGAACCCTACATGTTCAGATTGCTTTTGTAATGTTGTTTTTATATGGGCTACCACGAAATGTCTATCTTAGACAACATTAATACTGAACCGTACGAACCAATTATGTACTTAACCATAGGTCCAGGTGTTTTGCTGTTTGCTGATCCACCAGTTGCAATATGTCGTAACGAGCCAAACGGAATTACTTTTCACAAGCTTCCCATGTGCTTGGCAGTTTGCCTTTACTTTTTTAAACTCTTGGCAGGGGCTCTCGTGGCTTAGAGGTAATGGCGTTCGCCTCTCATTCAAAGGTCCAGGGTTCGAATCCGGGTAGAGACGGAAAAAAATATTATTCTCTAAAATTGTCTCCTTTCAATTCCTTTCCTGCTCACTAGCATGTTCTGTCGTCTGCTTTCGTCTCCACTTTCGGCCCCCCACTCCCTCACCTGGTTTGCCCCCTCCTCTGGGCTTCTGACTTTTTCTGCAGCCCTTCTGCTGCTACCCCTTGGCTCCTTCTTACTGCTGTCTTTCAGCTACACCCCTAATCTTCTGGAAGGAAAGGTCTACTCCTAGCTTTCTCAGACTAGGGCAAAAAATCTCAGAGGTCCCATGTGCAAGTTGCGCACGTTAAAAGATCCCTTGGTGGTCTAAAATCGATAAGAGTAGGCTTCGTCCACTACCCGGGCAAAATTGAAAATTTCCTACCAACTGAAAATGTTTAATGTGTCCCGCGCGCCCGTACGACCTTATGGAGTTGCGGGCGCCGTAAAACACTTACCAAAAGAAAAAAAATATCTTGGACTGTACAACCGTATGGAGAGAGTCTCTGACTGCCGATGTAGTCTTTCTGCCATGAATTTTAGTTCCCCGCTACAACAAATCTCCTTCAGGTACCACGTGCATATATCTCGAATTTTTTAAATGGAACTACTTACAAGAATCGTGTTCCTTTCATAGATGTATAGATCTTAGCAGCGAAGTCCATTATGGATGTTCCTATATTAGAGGCGTTTTACGTCGAGCTTGTTTCCTGTTGATATATTATCCCCC